AACGTTAAGGGATTTGGTTTTGGCCCTTAGTTTCAGAGTGTCCTTTACACATCCAAGAAGCCCTGGTGGCACAGTGGTTAAAACACTTGGCTGTTAACCAAAAGGTCAGCAGTTTGAATTCACCAGCTGCTCCGCAGGAGAAAGATGCGGCAGTCTACTTCCGTAAAGATTTACAGCCTTGGAAACCCTATGGGGTCGCTATGAGTCAGTATCGACTAGATGGCAGTGGGTTTGGTTTTTGGGTTTACACATCCAAGTGGAGATATCAAGTAAACCATTGGACAAAGGAGTCTGGAGTTCAGTGCAAAGGTGCCAAGGTCATTTGGTACAGAAAGGATACTCTTCCCAAGATATGGTGCTGGAACAACTGGATATTCATGTGGAAAAGAATGAACTTTGATCTCTACCTCACCATAAAGAAAATTTAATTTGAAATGGATCATAGAACTAAATGTACAACCTAAAACTATAAAGCATCTAGAAGACAACAAAGAAGATCTTTGTATATTTTGAAAGCCAACTCCACAGGGTTTCCAAGGAGCAGCTGGTGGATTTGAACTCCTGACCTTTTGGTTAGCAGCCATAGCATGCCATAGCTCTTAACCACTGCACTGCTATTTTGGTGGTATGAGGTTCCCATGTCTCTCTGCTCAGTTCTCTCTTTTATATCTCAAAAGAGACTGGCTTAAGACACTATTTAATCTTGTAGATCTCATTAGTGTAACTGCCACTAATCCATCTTATTATATCATAGTGACAGAACATACAACACATAGGGCAATCACATCAGATGGCAAAATGGTATACAATCATACAACACTGGGAATCATGACCTAGCCAAGTTGACAGATATTTCTGGGGGACACAATTCAATCCATGACAACAACCATATAAATTTATGGCTATAAAAACTATGTAATAATAAATTTTTTATATAATAAACTTTAAAAATCACCTGTACAGTAGAGTTGCAAGACTATGAAATATTTGCATTCAAGAAAAGCTTACAAGGAAATACTTCCAAATGCTGACAGTCTGGGGGAGGGAGACTGGCTAAGGTCTATTTTTGGGGTATCTATTCTGATCCATTTATTTATCTTTCCATTTCTGTTGCAGTACCACAGTATTCAACAACTGTAGTTTCAGTATAATTTTAAAATATAGAAAGACAACTAATCTCAAAGGGAGCTCTTCTTTCTTTGGAAGAATATTGTCTAATTGCCTTGGCTGGTGGCAGAATAAAGTAAACCAAGAGAAGTACTGAGGGGAATACAGCTGTGTTGAGCCTTCCTTTTGGACGCCCACTTCATCACATCCATATATAGCACCTGGCACATAGTAAGCATTCAATACCAGCACCTGGCACATAGTAAGCATTCAGTAAATATTTGATATACTTCTTTGGCAACTTAACTTGCTGTATAGTATAGAGACTGTAAACTATTGCTTAAAATCCAGTTGAGAATTTGTGTATTTCAAAGGAAACTCTCTAACAGGGAATGTTTTCTCCTCATACTTAATTTGGGGGTATCTTAAACAAATCTAAACCCTTCAGGCACACCTCATCTAAAGGTTTCTTTGGATACATAACTTAAAGACATTTAGACATTAGCTATAAAACCAATTTAATTGTATATTCATTATCACTGTATTCCATCAAATCTAAAAGGCCATTAACTGTAACATGCACTCTGATTTCAGAGATGTTAAAATATGAAAAAGAATAAGTGGTACCTTAGAAACTATGACATACAGCAGCTAACTACAAACCAGTGATACAACTTCGTGGACTGCATGTGGGAGGTTCAGGGCAACAATATCAATCCACCTATCTATTCTTAGCAAACTTTTAAGCTGTGCTCTCCCTTGGTTGGTAGAAAGGTATCTATAAATTAAAGTTGTAAAACACTACAATATTAAGCAGTGTGCATGCTGTGATCAAAAAGAAAAAACCAAAAAACAAAAACCAAGCCCATTGTGTTGAATCTATTCCAACTCATAGCGATCCTACAGAACAGAGAGAACTGCCCCACAGGGTTTCCCAATGCTGTAAATCTTAACGGAACCAGACTGCCACATATTTCTCCCATGGAGTGGCTGGTGGGTTTGAACTGCCGACCATTCTGTTAGCAGCCGAGTGCTTTAACCACTGGGACACCACTGCTTACAATATTAAGCAGTGTGCATGCTGTGATAAGTAGGATAAAATAAGAACAGATGTTTCAGACTGACATAAAAAAGAGGCAGTATATTTTTAGAAGCTATGTCACTCTTATTTAAATGTAAATTTCTGAAACATGAACTGTATAATTACAAATTTCACCCATTTCAAAATAAAAAGACGAACATATCAAAAAGCAAACAAAACATAATCTTTTTTTTTCATTGATGTAATTAAATGAAGTTTACATTTCAAGTTAGTCTCCCATAGTTTTTTTTTTTTCCAACATACACTGTTATGAGACCCCAACCGCTCACCCCATTCTGCGACAGCACACTCCTGCTCTCCACCCCTGGTTCCCCATGAACATTGAACCAGCTCCTTACTCTCTCTGCCTTCCCCTCTAACCTCTGGACAGAAGCTGCCCTTTTGGTCTCTTATATCTACTTGTCTAAGAGGCACATCCTTCATGAGTATCACTTTATGTCCCACAGTCCAGTCCAATCCCTGTCTGAAGAGTTGGCCTCGGAAATTGTTTTAGTTCTGGGGTGATGGAGAGACCAGGGGCCATGCTTTCCGGGGCACCTCCAGTGTTAGTCAGACCATTAAGTCTGGTCTTCTTACTAGTATTTGAGTTCTGCATCCCATCATTCTACTGCTCCATCAGGGACCCTCTGTTGTGTTCCCTGTCAGGACGTTCACTGGTGGTAGCCAGGCACCATCTAGTTCTGGTCTCAGGCTGATGAAATCTCTGGTTTATGTGGCCATTCGGTCTCTTGGGCCAATACTTTCCTTGTGTCTTTGGTGTTCTTTGTTCTCCTTTACTCCAAGTGGTTGGGACCAACTGATGCATCTTAGATGGCCACTTGCAAGCTTTTAAGACCCCAGACGCCACTCACCAAAGTAGCATGCAGAACATTTTCTTAATAAGGTTTGTTACGCCAATTGACATAGATGTCCCCTGAAAGCATGGTCCCCAGACCCCGCATCCCTGCTACTCTGTCTCTCAAACTAGTTGATTGTATTAGGAAACTTCTTAGCTTTGGTTTAATCCAGTTGTGCTGGCTTCCCCTGTAGTGTGTGCTGTCCTTCCCTTCACCTAAGATCATTCTTATCTACTATCTAGTTAGTGAATAACCCTCATCCTCCCTCCCTACCCCCGTAACCATCAAAGAATGTTTTCTTCTGTGTTTAAACATTTTCTTGAGTTCTTATAATAGTGGTCTTATATAGTATTTGTCCTTCTGTGCCTGACTAAATTCACTCAGCATAATAAGTTCTAGCTTCCACCAAGTTAGACGATGTTTCACAGCTTCATGACTGTTCTTTATCTTTGCGTAATATTCCATTGTGTGGATATACCATAGTTTGTTTATCCATTTGTCCATCGATAGGCACTTAGGTTGCTTCCATCCTTTGGCTATTGTGAACACTGCTGCGATGAACATGGGTGTGCATATATCTATTCGTGCGATGGCTCGTTTCTCCAGGATATATTCCAAGGAGCGGGATAGCTGGATTGTATGGGACTTCTATTTCTAGCTTTTTAAGGAAGCGCCAAATCGATTTCCAAAGTGGTTGTACTATTTTACATTCCCACCAAAAGTGTATAAGTGCTCCAGTCTCTCCACAACCTCTCCAGCATTTGTTATTCTGTGTTTTCTGGATTAATGCTAGCCTTGCTGGGGTGAGGTGATATCTCATTGTAGTTTTGACCTGCGTTTCTCTGATGGCTAATGATCATGAGCATTTCTTCAAGTGTCTGTTAGCTGCCTGAATATCTTCTTTGGTGAAGTGCCTGTTCATATCCTTTGTCCATTTTTTAATTGGGTTATTTGCCTTTTGCTGTTGAGGTTTTGGAGTATCTTGTAGATTTTAGAGATTAAATGCTGATCGGAATTGTCGTAGCCAAAAACTTTTTCCCAATCTGTAGGTTGTCTTTTCACTCTTTTGGTGAAGTCTTTGGATGAGCATAAGTGTTTGATTTTTAGGAGCTTCCATTTATCTAGTCTCTCTTCTGGTGCTTGTGCATCGTTACTTATGGTCTGTATTGTGTTTATGCCACGTATTAGGGCTCCTAGTGTTGTCCCTATTTTTTCTTCCATGATTCTTATCGTTTTCGATTTTATATTTAAGTCTTTGATCCATTTTGAGTTAGTTTTTGTACATGGTGTGAGATATGGGTCTTGTTTCAGTTTTTTACACATAGATATCCAATTATGCCAGCACCATTTGTTGAAGAGACTGTCTTTTCCCCAATTAATGGACTTTGGGCCTTTGTCAAATATTAGCTGCTCATAGGTGGATGAGCTTTATCTGGATTCTCAACTCTTTTCTATTGGTCTATGTATCTGTTATTGTACCAGTACCAGGCTGTCTTGACTACCGTGGCAGTATAATAGGTCCTAAAATCAGGTAGTGTAAGGCCTCCCACTTTGTTCTTCTTCTTGAGTAGTGCTTTATTTATCTAGGGCCTCTTCCCTTTCCATATGAAGTTGGTGATTTGTTTCTCCATCTCATAAACGCCGCTGGAATTCGGATCAGGATTGCATTGTATCTGTAGATTGCTTTGGGTAGAATTGACATTTTCACTATGTTGAGTCTACCTATCCATGAGCAAGGTATATTTTTCCACTTATGCAGGTCTCTTTTAGTTTCTTGCAGTAGTGTCTTGCAAAAACATAATCTTTTTTATGCCCTCTCTAGAAATACGTAAATTCTACTCTGAAAAATAAAACATGACATTTTCATGCCCTCCCTAGAAAAATGCAAATTATACTCTGAATTTGAATTACTTAATATAGCACACACAGAGCTACAAAGAAACATAAAACCTCACCTCAGAGCTATTGATGACCAAAGCTTGAAGGAGCAGCTTAGTGGCATCAAGATGAAGGCCATAGTGAATCAAAAGGTTGGCCAAGTTCACAAGAGGAATGTCTTGGTATTGAAGCGGAGCTAAATTCAAAGCTCTTTGAAGACAGGCGATTGCAAAAGTGCTATTTCCTACCGCTCTCCAGTAGAGTCCTGCTTCATTGAGGATGAGCCACACAGGAGCATTTGGCTGAAAAACCCCAAACATTTCATTAATACAAGAATGCAGTATTTATTCCATACACTGGAATGTATTTGTTCTATACAGGATTTTTAGTAAGTACATTTTAACTTTTAGTAACAATTACTAAGGGTTTAAGGAACCCGGGGTGGCGCAACGGTTCAGCACTTGGCTGCTAACTAAAAGGTCAGTGGTTAGAGATCACCAGCTGCTCCATGGGAGAAAAGACCTGGTGATCTGCTTCCGTAAAGATTACAGCCTAGGAAACCCTATGCGGCAGTTCTAGTCTGTCACACGGGGTTGCTATGAGTCGGAATTGACTGATGCCAAATAACAGCAACACTAAGCTTTTAAGATGTGCAAAGCAGGTGACTTACCTTGTTAATAGCATGAAATAAGAAAGACCCAATTTCTTCTTCTGGGATAGTATAGTTATTAATACGGGAAAGCAAAATCTGAAAACATCAAAAGGAAGACCGACTCAATTTAAAATAACCAGGAAGACATTTTAAAAGAATTTCATAGATGGCAGTGTTTACTTGAGTTCCTCAGGAACAGTTAAATTTGAGTAGATATTTTAATCATATATATAATATGAGGTCATCAACACACCAACAGGTATTAACCTGCTGGTGTGCACTGACTTTAAGGACAGTATATATGTAATAATACGTATTGTTTCTTATTCTGTTAAGAACTCGTCGATGAGTAACAAGACTGGCTGTGAGAGGTTAACTGCTTAAGCTGCATGATGGATACATGGGATTCATTATACTATTCTCTCTACTTTTTTATATACTTTAAATTTTCCACTAAAAAACGTTAGAAGACATATATATACAAACACACACATTAAGGCAATCTATGATACCCCATTAAAGTCAACCTACATATCCAGAACTGAATAAGAAATTATTCAGAAGACAACAGCATGTGATAAAAATCTGTTATTTTCCCTAGTTGGAAAACCATCACATCCCTAATTAATCTACTTTATGTTCTTGCAACATTTATGTTTAACTGTGAGCAACTCTAAGGCAGGAATCATGGTCTATTTATCTTTGTATTCCTAGCACCCAAAACAGTACCTGGTACACAATGTTTTTTTTGCCTCAGTAAATATTTGTTGAATACAAGTAGTTAACTGCTGATAGTTTTGAAATTAAGTTTCAAAAAAAAGAGAGTTGTGATGGTCTGTTTTCTCTGTAAAGAGGTAATTTTTTAATTTCTATCTACAGAATGGTACCTTATATAATACCTAATATAATCTGCCCTCAGTAATACAACATTCCAAGTTGTAAATAACTAACAGGATTAAAGAAAACAGCACAACAGAACTTATTTATAATGTTTGCAAAGTGGTTATCAAATTCAAACAAACTCCTAAGGGTATCATATAAGGCCAACGCAGGGTTGATAAGGACATGGAAAAAGAACCTTCTAGCTTTCAATTTATACAAACTTCTGGAGGACTGGAGGATGCAAAGCTAAATTGAAGTGATCAGAATGACTTCCATTAGGTAAACTGAGAGTTCTGTGTTATTCATCTTCATAACTCTTTGAGTCAAAGGAATAATACTCAGGTGGTCCCTGAGGAACACTTTCCTACCAACTTCTTCAACAGCATGACTGCATGACTGACTTCTCAATCATCTCACCAATACTTTAATTCTATTCTTCAGTTTTATAAATTTAAAGCTCACCAACTGCCTTCTATCAAATTTTCTGTTCCATCTAAGAGGCTTCTGAAGTCACCCAGAATGGACGGCAATAAACACCAGCCTAAGTGAGCCTTACTTTTCGTGCATGGTCATCTGGCATTTTGGCTTTCAGATCCATGCGGACCTCTAATTCTTTGACTAAGTAGGACAGAGTCTGGCTTTTTCTGAAGTCATTTATGGAACAGTCTGGGGTTTGGGCCTCTTCTTCTGAAGAATAATCATCACTGTTGAGTTCGTGGATCCTGGCACAAGAAAAAGGAACAAGATTCATATTTTCAAAGTTTAGGTGACGTCAAGATAAAGACTTAACCTTTCAAGTCCACGGCTGGTGCTCTCAAAGAACCGCCAGATGACAATCATGCAGAATCAGGCGCTTTGCCAAATCCACCAGCACTTGCCTGAGTCCTTTGTTTTCCGGTGGCAGAAAATAGGTTGGCAATTCCCCACCAACAGGGACTCTAGGGTAGCTTTCTGCACAGTCTGCTCTTTTAGGCCACAGAACATGCTGTTTGTCCTAATAAAGAAAGAAAGTTTCTCATAAATTTCTTTGGATTCAGTCTTTCAACAGCTGAATGAATTTTGAAAAGAATCAAAAATACTAAGATTACTAAACAGAAATTTTAATATTTTAAGATAAATGTGGTAGACACTGTGGTTATTTCCATAGTATTCTTTCTACTCCAGATTATTAGGCTAAGTCAGTCACAGTAATTCCACCTGCTTTACCACGGACTGGTTCAGGGCTGGCCAGGCCTAAGTCAGCTGAGCCAACGAGCCACAAGCAGAGGCTTGCATGGGTTTCTGGGAAAGAAAGTAAGCCTAAATCTTTTATACCACACAAACAGAAAAGCATGTTGATCCAGTTGCTGTTGGCTGACGTCTTATGACCATAAGGGCAAGCTTCAGGATGAAGCCAATGCTGTGGATGGCAGAGTGGAGAACGGGAAGGAAAGGGGTCACTGATGACATCCCTGGACCACTAAATCAACCAAACTCAAAGCTTGCGCTATCTTTGGACTTCCTGCTAGATGAAGAAAGTTTTCTTTTTGTTTAAGCCAGTGGGAGTTCATTACTTGCACCTGAAAGCATACTTAAATTTAGAAAACTGGCCTAGAAAACCATTCTTCCTTGAACTAATTTTTTTTTTTTTTTTGGCCAATGCCGAAGTTTAAATGTTTTTTGATTTATGAAATGTTCACTTTTCTAAATATAAACAAAACATACTAGAGGCTTACTTAACTTATATGTTGAAGCTATCAAACTCTGGAGAATTTATAGTACATAAATCTGAGTGGTTGTATTAATTGTTAGAACAAAAGCTTAGTTAAATTCTGAACATTTAATAGTGAATGAAACATACAAGGTCCCTGCCCTCATACCTTGGGATTCCCATTGGCTAACATCTAACTATTTCTTGGCTGGCCTACAAATACAGGGATTTATTTATTAACTTTTTTACCATCTGTATCTTCCATTAGAATATAAGCTCCAGCAGAGCAAGGAGCTTGTCTACTATACTCCCAGCCTGGTACACAGTTGGAGCTTAATAAAAGAATGCTGGTTAAATAAATGAAGTATATACAAGTATATACTAGGTCAAGTTTAGAAACATGTTAAGTGTGGTAATTACATGCAGAGCTGAAAGTTTTGTATTGAAGTCAGGGTGTCTGTCTTCTCTACTTGATTGGAAAGAACTAGATGAAGAAAGGGCCTATGTCTTACTAATCCAGTACCTGGCACAATGCTTCCATTTAACAGAAGTTAAATAAATGTTTGCTGGACTAACAGTGATAGGGCCCATATTAATATCAGTGAGGTTGAGAACCACTGCATTATCCTCTATTAACTTACCCTATATGCATCAGAGTCCCTGCCCCAGATCCAGAGAATAGAATGGGCTACAGGAGAAGACTTGACTGAATCACTGATATCACTCTGATTTGCCTGAACATCAAACTTCACAGACACCATACTAGAAGTTGATGAATCCTCCCCAAACTAGAAAATGAAAAATTAAATCAAATAAGAGGTAGAAAGGAGTTATGATGGAGATTTAAGTCAAATAAAAAATGCTAGTAAATACTCAAAATTAGTAGGAAATTAAAATATTTCAGTAATAAAGAAATCAGATCTTGTAATTTTAAAAACTATGCCCAAACAGTATTCTCTTACAGATAATGCGTAATTATTTTCAACCAACTTCGCCATTAATTAGGAGAAAAATGGCATGGATTTTTTTCCTATCCCTTTAGTTCTTTCTATAATTTAGACTCTTAGGTTTAATGATCAGCAGTCTAGAGATATGGTTCCTTATTCCCCTCTTTGGGGTTTAACTCTATCCAAAGAATTTGGTCTTTGTTCTTGGTTCCTGAGAAACAGCCTCTAAAACCTTGAAATTTCCCCAGTAATCATAAGTGTATTTGATGTGGACTCCAGACTATACCTAACTTAACAGGTTATGCTAATGAGGTGACTCTTGGATGGGGGGTGGCAAGGCCATAAAGACTTATCTTGGGTTATCAACCTCTTTATTACCTCATGATACCGACCAACCTTAGCGAGAGGGGCTGGAGTTTGAATTATGTAATGAGATCCTTAATAAAAGCTCTAGACATGGAAGCTCTATGGCCTTCCTGGTTGGTGATAGACATCAACGTATGTGGAGGGCAGCGCATCCCTCTGAGACATGGAAGCTCTGCATTGGGAACCTTCCCAGACTTGCCCTATGCATCTCTTCATTTGTATCCTTTTTCTTATAATAAAACTATAATCATAAGTATTAACACTTTCTGAGTTCTGTGAGTCATTCTAGCGAATTATCGAACACAAATGAGTAGTGGGAGCCAGCAAGTCAGAAGTGAGGGGCGCCGGGAACTCCTGAGCTTATGACTGGTATCCTGAGGGGGTAGAGGAAACACCTAAATTTGTAGCCAGCAGGTTAGAAGTGTGTGTGTGTGTGTGTGTGTGTGT